TGCTCCACTCCCTCTTTCTTCCTGCTCAGGGTAGCCCTATCTTCTGCCTGCACCTCAGAGCTGGGGCAGCAGCCTCTCCTTCTCCTTGCTTGCTCTCCAGCAACCACTACAAGCTGCCCAAGGGAAGAGGGTGGTAGCGATGGCCAGGGAGAGGTCAGGGAGAAGCCAGGGAGAGGCAACAGAATGGTCCCTTGCAGCTGCAGTTGCCGCCGCCGCCACCACCACCACCTAGGACAAGCACCAGCTCAACCTCCTTCCCAAGCTTGGCGATGGTGACACTGGTGGAGCCGACCTTCTGATCAGCAAGTCCTAGGCTCTGTGGTTTAACCCACAGTGCCATGCAAAGACTTAGTAAGGTTTTCTAATTTATATTTAGACACACACACACACACACACACTTACCATCTGCTTTTGAAAGTTCCAAATCCCCCCCAAATAATAATAACAATAATAATCCACTTTGTCCTGTGGCATAAGGGGTCGCTCCTGGAGGACCAAACTAGATGCTTTGGTTAAAGATGCAGCAAAAGATGCAACTATGTATCTTTGGCTGTGTTCATACCACATGTTTAAAGTTTATTTAAAGGCACACGGGGGTCGCACCCATACTACACATTTAAAGAAGTGTTGTACCCCTTTAAGCAATCCTGGCTTCCCTCAAAGTGGCATGAGAATTCATCCTTCACAGTTCCTAGAATCCTTAACAAACTACAGTCCCTAGGATTCAATGGGGGAAGTCTCATGTGTATTGAATTTGCTTTGATTGCATAGCATGGGCTGCTGGAGAGAAGCCTTCTGCACAGCACAATTCTGCACCTCTTGCATTTAAAGCGCAGGGCTTCCCCCTAGGAGAATCCTTGGAACTTTAGTTTACCCCTATAATTCCCAGCCCCCTTAAAAACTATAGTTCCCAGGATCCATTGGGGGATTGGGTTGCTATGTGTTTAAAATGTAGGGTGTGAATTTGACAGTAATTCATTACAGGTGTGTGGGGTGGAGGATCCCTACTGGGAACGCAGCACTTGGGAAGGGGAGACTGTTCTCTCCACTTGTCTCTTCAGATAGGATCCATTCATCATGCAGTGAGTTCTGTTTCTATGTATTGTTTTGCTTCTAGTTTTTTATGGTTTTAAATTTATTTATTTATACTCAAGTTATTGGAATGGGACTGCTGCAACTCTCAGGTCCTGTTTGCAGGCCTCCAAGGGTCCAGAATCCTGTCTGCAAACAGGACCCGAGAACAGCAGCTGTCCCATTCCAGCAAATGGTGGGTGCAAATGCTTTAGAACATGGGAAGAACCTGCTGGATTGGGCCAATGGCCCATCTAGTCCAGCATCCGTCTTTCACAGTGGCCAACCAGATGCCAATAGAAGCTCTGTAAGCAGGACCTGGGCAAAACATTCCTCACCCCCTGCAGTTCCCAACAACTGGCTTTCAGAAGCATAGTGATTCCAACAAGAGGAGGTAGAACATAGCCAACTCAGCAGCTAGAAATTGATAGTCTGACTCTGAAGGAATTTTCCTAATCCTTTTAGAAAGTTGGTAGATACTTTAAAATGCACTGGTGGAGGAAATAGGCACAGTCCAGCCTCAAATGAGAACCAGGCTGGCTTTTCTAATTTTGGGACTGTCCCTGGTTAATAGGGACACTTGGAGAGTGTGTTGTTCTGACTGAGTGCTAAAGAATGGGTTTTCTTGGGGAAAGACAAAACTGCTCAGACCCATGGCTAGAAAGCACAGGACAAGAGGAAAACTGCTCAGACCAGCCCTTTCTATGCATGGGACAAATGGAAATGTGGATGTCCCCTAGCTCTAGTCAAGAGGACTTTAGACAGTCCTACTTAGAGAGGCTGGAGATTTTATTTGAGGATTTAATGGAGCCTTATGGGTTGAATCCAACTAAGTTTTTACCCACAGTTTCCCCACTGAAATTAATGGACCTATATTAGCCACATTCTACTTTGAGTAGAACCAACAATGAATACATGCAAAGCTCTATTACTGATCCAACACCCTTCCCAGTGATTACAAAATAGTAGCTCAAGGCAGCTATCTGTTTTCTGTAGTGAAAGTAGTGTGGTAGTCTTCTTAGTTATTTCTGAAAGAGTTTCCAAAGGAGCATCAGGAGTTGCTGATAATGTCTATTTATAATCGACAATAAACATCTGGTTGTAGAAGGTAGTTTTAATCTCTCTGAAGGCCTACATGAAAGACTTAGAAATATGTTTGCATTTGAACTGTCCCTAAAAACACGCATGCAAAACAACCCCCCAGAAAGCTATCATCATTATTTCTTGAAGTTGTAAGAAATATTTGCCTCTGGTCTTCTAAAGAGCAGTATCAAAAAAAAGGAAAATGGATTTTGCAGAGTACATAAGAGAAATCACTTCCATTTGTGGGCTTCAACACTTGGCTTCTCTCCATGTGTTTGTGATGAGGGCAAGCCTAATGTAGGAAGCTGGATTGCAAGGAAGTCTTTTATGTACCACTGTATTTTCACCAGTATATGATAATTACATCAGGCCACTGAACCCACTTGAGTTGAGATCAGAGTAATAGGGAAAGGACTGTGGCACTGTACAGAGCACATGCTTTTGCATGCAAAACGGCACAGATGATGATGATGGTGATGATTTCAGTCGACACATAAGGAGTCACCAAGGAACTTGCAGGATCTTAAAGCATGACATAAAGATATGAGAAAAAAGAACAGTGCATTGTAATAAAAGCAGAACAGCAAGCCCCATTTTGTTCATTTGCCAGCGTGATTTGGATTCCAGTGGGCATTTGTTCCTCTGCAAACCAGCAAAACTCACTGCAATGCCAGCCTGGGAAAACACCCATTTCCAGGTGTGGTTTGAATATAAACAATACCTGCAAATGGCCAGCTTCAAAGGGGCTTGCTGTCAAAGCCCATCAGCTGATCAGTGATGTCAGTGAGCTGTGCTTGCAAAGAAACAATCAGAGCACACTTGAAGTTCCCCCAACGTTCCATCACAGCTCCATTTTATATGACATCTGGTGTACGGCCAGTGGGTGTGGTTTAAAGAAAATGGGCCAGACAAGGAACCCTGCCATGCCTGCTTAAGCCCATGGGCCAGAGGTTGCTCACAGCATACTAAAAGTTTGAAATAGAGAGTTATATGGTCTTGGGAGGCTCACTGATTTCCTGCAAAAGGTTTGAACAATGTGCACTGCTAAAACCGTTGCTTACTATTTAATACAGTGTTTTAGTATGTCCTCCCTGCTGTGTGTATCATCAGCCAAACTGAACTCCTGTGGTCTCAGGGCTGCATTTGAATCTACTCAATGGAATGTGAAATCCCATTTTCTTTTTCTTTTTTTCCTGTCATTGGGATTCCATGATGGGGCAGGATGGAATTTTAACTGCTGCTTCCTCCTTGCTGGGCCAGCAATTCAGAGAAGAAGAGCGCTACCAGAAGAAAAATTGGCAACCCTACCTGGGGCTAACAAATTCGAGCTATGTTTTTGATACTTGTTCCCCATCAGCTCTTATCAGCCACTCACCCTTTTTTTATGTAAAAAGGCAGAGACACACAACCCAGTTCACCCATAATAACACAGATGCAAGGAGAATAAATATAGCTGCCCTATTTGTGCTCTCCTGTGAACCTTGACTATCAGGTTCAGGTTCCACACAGGTGTTTGCAAAGAGCCCTGCACCATTTATCCTAGACCAGAGATGGGAAACCTGTGGTTCTCCAGTTATTGTTGGACTCCAGCTCAGCTCCAGCCAAGGATGTTGACAGCAACTTCTGGAGGGCCACAGTCTGTCCTGTGGGAGGAAGAGAAGGAGGCAGACTGGGTTATTCTTAAGGGGAGAATGCATAGCTAGCTCAATCCCAATGCATCTAGGTTGGCCCTCACTCAGCAGTGTAGCTAGCCACTTGGGTGCCCAGTGTGGCGCGTGTGTCCTGCACCTGGGGGTGGGGCAAACTGCCCATGGGGGCAGGGCGAGGCAAGGCAGGGTGCACTGTGTGGAGCCTCTCTGCAGCCTCCCCCTCAGCTGTAGAGCAGCTGAGGTGGTGGGCAGACACAAGCCCTGTGCTGCTCGAAAAAGCAGCACAGAGCTTGCAGGCAGTTCTCCCGCCATCTCCCCCTCAGGAGAGACGCATGGCTCAGGCACACTGCAGACCCCGCAGTGTGGCACCCAGTGCCTCATGCCTCACACCTCACCTATCTACCAGTGGCAAAGGAAGGGGGGTGCGTTGGGGGCAGAAGTTATTTTTTCCAAAAAAAAAAAAGTGTCGTCAGCCCAATTTTTATTTATTTATTTTAAAAACACATATTTTTTTGCCATTTTGTCACCCTCCCTCATTGGTGACACCCGGGGTGCCCCGCACCCACCTCACCCCCCTTCCTACACCACTGCCCTCGCCACATCGTATGGTCTGGTGAGTCTGGTTAGCTGCTATATTCAATTGATTTTTGCTTGTTAATTCTGCACATTCAGTGGATTTCATGACGTTTTGGTATTGTAAGATGATTTATTGTATTTAATGTTTCCACTTCATTTGCATAGCAGCCAACCTCTAGGGGCTGAGGTCCCTTCAGCCCCCCAATAAAATATTTGAGGGCTCCAGAGCCCCCAAAGTTTATGAGCATTGCCATTCAAATGGGGGGGGTGTGCCCCATGTCATGTGATCAGTTATGCAGGACGGGTCTTACCTATTCCCCTCCCCATCTTCAATATTTTATTGAAGTCGGCATCCCTGTTCACTTGTCTAGATTTTGTCATTTATATGGTATTGCTTAATTTTGCTGGATTTGGGGAGACATTGGAAGCTGCCTTATACTGAGTCAAACCACTAGCTCACCAAGCACAGTATTGTTTAATTTATTTATTCATTTTTTAAAAAAAAATAAATTCTATATCATTATTTCATTTTAAAAATATCGAAGTGGTTTACAACAAAAATGCATAAAGCCATACAGTAAGAACTATCTCTAGAAGTCTACACTGACTTTCAGCCTTACCAGGAGATGCCAGGGATTGAACCTGGGACCTTCTGCATGCAAAGCAGGTGTTCTACCTCTCACCTAGGGCCCTTCCCAACAACATGAATCTCTTTCTGATCTCTTTCTTGATGAAAAGTGGTACAAAAGTATTTGTATGAATGAATTAAACATTTGAATAAAATATATTAGAAGTAGGGGGAAATGGCCTATGCTAGTGGTTCCCAAACTATTTCCCCTATGGACCTCTTGGAAATTTCCAAGAAATTTGGCAGACCACTTAATGATATTTCTGCTTGTTTTAGCGATTACAATGAAGTGTTCTAGATGCTCTATGGGGTTTTTTAATTGTATTTTTATTTCTTCCTTTATTTCTTGTGTTGCATTTTACTTTATTAGACTTTGAATTCCATAGAATTCAAACTGTAATGCAACATAAGAAATAAAAGAAGCAACAAAAGAAGTGTGAAGTCTGAAGAAGTGTGCATGCACACAAAAGCTTATACCCAGAACAAACTTAGTTGGTCTCTAAGGCGCTACTGGACAATTTCTTTATTTTTTTTATTTATTTCAACAAAAATACAGTTAAATATAATCATGAGTATTCATTGCAGGCATGTCATGGACCACCTGAAGGAAGCTCAGTGGTCCACAGGCCACAGTTTGGGAGCCCCTAGACCCTGCTAAGAATTTTGTAAAGTGAGAAATTGCATGTTAACCTTTCCTTCTTCCTCCACCCCAACTTCCTGTCTTCTACAGAGATCCAAAATAGCTGTCTATGAGAAAATGTGGTCGTACATGAAGTCGGCAGAGCCATCTGTATTTGCCAAAACAACAGCGGACGGGGTAGCCCGCGTGAGGAAATCTAAGGGGAAGTTTGCCTTCCTGCTCGAATCGACCATGAATGAGTACATTGAACAACGGAAGCCTTGTGACACAATGAAAGTTGGTGGGAACCTGGATTCCAAAGGCTATGGTGTAGCAACTCCCAAAGGCTCAGCATTAAGGTGGGTGGAATAATATAACAATATCCATGTTGTTATAGTATTCCACCTACCCTGATGTATTGTGTTGTCTTTTTCTTTCTTGTGGATTTGAGGTAAACTTAAAAAAGTTTTCAAAAAAAAATCAGTATTCCATGAAGTTAAATAAGACGGTAAATTATGGTTTCATTGACTTTAATGCATCCATTTTTTTTCTAAATGTTCTCTCCGTGTTGTCCTTTCCGATTGTTTGTTGCTGTTTTTAATTTTACAGTCCAGTGGCTTTTTTCAATTTAAATGGTAAAAGCCCAAGTTAAAAACCGCCATACGTGACGGGTGTTAATTGCATGACGTGGTGTTCTCGTCGCCTCTTTTTTTAAAATCCCCTCCTCCTCCTCCTCCTCCTCCTTCTCCTCCTACTCCTCCTCCTCCTCCTCCTCCTCCTTCTTCTTATTTTTTCTCAAAAGACAATTTCCCCATCCCGCACACTTCCGTTTTTTAAGCAAATGTTTAGATCCTCCATGCCACCTTTCCAATATTTAAACCCTGTTATTTGCTGTAACAAACACGTTCTCTATATAGCTCCACCTCCCTGTGAAAAACCAAAAAGAAAAAAAAAGTGAAAGAGAGAGAGAGAGAGAAAAAAAAGAGGAAACAAAAATTACCGGCCAATTTGTCCTCCTTCTGCTCCTTTCTTTATACGTTTTTTAACGACTTTAACCGAGCATCTGTGCATTATTCTTACGAGTTATGTTTTATCGTTTCAAGAAATGCTGTTAACCTGGCAGTATTAAAACTGAATGAGCAAGGCCTCTTGGACAAATTGAAAAACAAATGGTGGTACGACAAAGGAGAGTGCGGCAGCGGGGGAGGTGACTCCAAGGTCAGCCTCAATGTCACCACAATCGGGTACCTTAGTCAAGAGTAATCGGCAAGGCTGTTATTTTATGCATCAGGGAAAAAAGAGCCTGGAAGATGAGAAACCATCTTGAAACCATCATGTTCAAGTCACTTGCTTGTCCAGTAGCTTGCAAGGCTCAGGGAGGGGGGATTTTTTTCTTCTTCCCCCCTTCCTTTGCACTGCTACCGTTGCAATCAATCCTGGGTCCTTATTTAACTAACAGAGAGAGAAAGAGAGGAGAAACCAGACTGAGGGTTTCATCCAATGCTTGTCATCCTCAAAGCTGGCCCACTGAAATTAGTGGGCATGGTTAACTGAGGTCTGTTAATGGCATTGGGTCTGCTCTGAGTATAACTTCTTTGGATGCAATCCAAGGAATCCTCTCTTGTTGCATTCGTTGAGTTGGATGTGGTTATATGATGGGTTATGGATTGAGTGGGATGGGTTATATGAGTCTCTGCTTATACACCAGTGGTTTTTACTGGGCCAGTCTGTCCCCGTTTGTATGTGGCCTCTGGTAGGTGCGGCAGGCAGATACGTTTCAAGGATTCACTCTTCAGATCCCAGCCAGGGTTACCAAATGTTAGCCTTGTTTCTCGGTTGCATATCTAGCACAGGGCACTGAGCATTTAAAAAAAACAACCCGAGTTCAGATATGTAAATAAGCTTGTTTGAAAATAAGGTGTGTGTGTGTGTGTGTGTGTGTGTGTGTGTGTGTGTGTTCGAATGTGTTAGATTGCCAAGACCTTTGCTGAAAATGAATTACTATTTTTCTCAAGTTACATATTAAACAGTAAGAAAATGAAAGTTTTTAGAAAGTTTAAGTTTAGAAAGATACATTAAAAAAATTATATTGTTTCTGGATTTGCTGGCTCTTTAAGCTGATAATTTTTCATTGCTAATTTTTAATACGTATTGTTGTATGTAGCTCAGGTTAATGGATACTAGGATAGTTAAATAACCAGATGCTCAGTTGGTGATTTTTTAGAAAGAAAGAAACAATATCCATGTTGAATTTTTAAAGACACATTTTAAAAATAGGGTTGCTACTTCCTTCCCTGACAAAATACCCCGTGCCTTCGAGATTTGCAGACCCTCCAAGTGTCCCTGTTTGCCAGGAACAGTCCCTGATTTATTGAAGCCGTCCCAGTTTCTGATTTGATCCCAGAATGTCCCACTTTTCTTTAGGACATCCTTATTTTCACTGGAGTATGTTGGGGAGTATGGTATTGTGTGACCCAAGGAGATAAGCAACTATGCAACCTTTAGAAGACACCTGAAGGCAGCCCTGTACAGTGGTACCTCGGGATGAGAACGGGATCCATTCCAGAGCCCCGTTCGCATCCCGAACAGAACGTAAGACGCAATAGCGCGTCTGCGTATGCGCGGGTCGCGTTTCGCCGCTTCCACACATGCACATGGTGTCATTTTGACCGTCTGCACATACATGTGTGGCGAAACCCAGAAGTAACGTGCTCCGTTACTTCCGGGTCGCTGCAGAGTGCAACCCGAAAGCGCTCAACCTGAAGCGTATTTATCCCAAGGTATGACTGTATAGGAAAGTAGGGCATCCCTATTCTCATTGGAGTTGTGTTGAATGCTATGGATTTGCCTAAAAGGTGCATAGAATTTTCCCCTACCAGCAGGTATTGTGATGATGCTATGCAGTTAGGCTTTGGGGTGTGCATTGTTTGAGGGTGCATAAACCCATGGCTTGTTCCTGAAATACAATGCATGTTTCAGTTTCACAGCCCTTTGTCAAATCTAATAACCCAGCTAGGAAAGGGATATTTCATTAAATTAATCCCATTAATTGAAAAGTAATACCCTGAAGAATTCCATTAAATTCTCTGGGCTGCTGTTCCTCTCCCCCCTCCATGCAATCTACTCTTTAAAAAAAAAAGAGCCAACAATAATTTGTAATTACTTTCTGTAGTTAACCAACCCACTTGCAGGAAGATTATTGATGGGAAAACGTGCAGGCAGTTAATACAGCTCCCCCCTGAATTTCTTCATAAATGATGCTTCTATCAGCAGAGCAAGTGCAATAATCATTTACTTTAATCATATTGGATAGCAGCAAAAGCTGTATATGATTAAAACAAAGGAAGTTTTATGCCATTTTCTTCACTTCTCTAGTCATTACCACTGGGAATAAAAGCTAGGGTTGGGGAAATATCCAAGTATACATTTGAGCTCAAAGGCTTATTCCGTAGCCCAACCTTTACTATAGTGTAACCGATGTTTCTGAAATACTTAAATCCCCTCTTGTTCATACTGTTGTATTAGGTAAGGTGTCCAGAAGGAGTAGAATTTGAAGCAGATCACAACCTTCTTTTGAGAGTCTAGGTAAAAAGATATCTTACTGCCTCTGAATAATGTGATGTGACTGGCTGGTTGGTTGGTTTTACATTTATATCCTCTCATTCCTCCAAGGAGCACAGAGTGGGGGAGGGGCATACACAGTTCTCCCCTTCCCTCATTTTCTCCTTACAGAACAAACATGTGAGGTAAGTTAGACTGACATGTGAGGTAAGTTAGACTGAGGTAAGTTACCTCACAAACGTGAGGTAAGTTGTAATAATAATAATAATAATAATAATAATAAATAATAATAATTTATTTATACCCCACCCTCCCCGGCCAAGACTGGGCTCAGGGCGGCTAACACTGAATAGAAATACAGTAAAAACATTTTTTTAAAAAAAAAACCAGTTGATTAAAATGTAAGTTAGAATACAGTTTAAAATGCAGCTTAAAATGCAGCCTCGTTTTAGTGGTAGCCTATAGATCAAAGCCATAAGGGGAGGAGAAAACGTCAAATATTCATGGGGCCAATTATCCATGCTGGTCCTACATGGGTCAGCAAAAATAGCCAAGGGAAAATTTATATACAAATCCCATATAAGGGGTTCCATTAAAAAAAGAGGGGGAGTTAGACTGAGTGGGGGTTTGAACTCTGGTCTCCTAGGGCCTAGTCTGTTGCTCTAACCACTACACTATATTGGCTCTCAGTGGATAGTATTCACGATGACCATATAGTGCCTCGATAATCAAAGGCACTATGCCTCTGAATACCAGTCACTGAGGAACAATGGTGGGAGCAAGCTATTGCTTTCTTTTCCAGCTTGTGGGCATCCTAGATGCATCCAACTGGTCACTCTCAGAGCCAGGGTGCTGCATTGGACAGGATCTTGACCTAGCAGGACTGCTTTTTCCTAATAAGTCAGATTCTGTTCATTCATGCCAAGCAGAGGAGAATGCTAGCCCTACTTGTCATCTGGTTTGGTCACTGTGAGAACAGGATGCTGGACTGATCAAGTCGCAGGTCTTTTCTTATGCTTAAAAAAACCAGATATAGACTTCAGGTATAACATGGAGATGCAGCTGAAAGTCCAGGATCCAAATCCAACCACCAAAACATTCAGTTTGGCTTCCAGCAAAGCTCTGCATGACTCAAAGGCACTCCCACAATGTGAAAGATTTGTACCTCACCCTTGCTTGCAAAGATAAAATAAGCATTGGCTTATCAAACCTGGGATGTGGGTGGCACTGTGGGTTAAACCACAAAGCCTAGGACTTGCCAATCAGAAGGTCGGCAGTTCGAATCCCCGTGACGGAGTGAGCTTCCGTTGCTCGGTCCCAGCTCCTGCCAACCTAGCAGTTCGAAAGCACGTCAAAGTGCAAGTAGATAAATAGGTGGCGGGAAGGTAAACGGCATTTCTGTGCACTGCTCTGGTTCACCAGAAGTGGCTTATTCATGCTGGCCACATGACCCGGAAGCTGTACACCGGCTCCCTCGGCCAATAAAGCAAGCTGAGCACCACAACCCCAGAGTTGGCCATGACTGGACCTAATGGTCAGGGGTCCCTTTACCTTTACCTGTCAAACCTAAGAATGTGATGTAACCAACATACAAAACAAGGGTCCATATAGCAAGCAAAACTGTATCCACAGCAAAAACATCCACAGCAAGGAAAACAAAATCTAGACACTATGCCTGGACAGAAAAGAAAGTTTTAGTCTCTGTGTCCTAAACACACACACCACACCACCCCCATAATGTTAGGGAAAATGTTCCATAATCAGGGCATTATTTTGGAAAAGTCCATCCATGGTTGCCATCCGTTCTTTCTACATCAGGTTTGGGGAACCTGTTGTTATGGATTTGGGTGAGATTCGATTCAGTCAGTTCAGTTTACAGTACAAAGTGAACCCATCTAATTCATATTTTCCAATGCAATGTGCAAACCAAAACACAGCCCTTCTTTGAAATTTGCACTTCTCCTAGTTTTGTAGTGCGGTTGTCCAGCCAAGTAATACAAGACAGCTCACATCTTTTGCAAGGGTCACATTCCAGGAATGGCAATTATATGCAAAAGTACAAGCCCACCCCCTTGAAACTGTCCCCTCAGGAAAAGCCTTACCCAGAGCCAGAAAACCAGATAGGTCTTACCAACTCCCTCCAAACAATGTATAGGGTTTTTAAGCTCTCAGACTTGGTTAGCAGGCTCTGAGTATGCGCAAGGCTCTCAATATATTTCAGGGCTGTCCAAGTTCCTATGAGATCTCCCCCATCCAGAATCCATGCAAGAGCTTCCCAGAGTCTGGTAAACTAGTTTCAGAGCTTAAAAGTTATTTCCATGCCAGGAAGACCCTGTGCAAAAAGAGCTTTTTAGCTCTCCACCTTCCATGCATCTAATTTGTCTGATTTCAGCCAACCAGCTTTCAACCACGTAAAATTAAAATTGTACATGTTAAGCAAGCAGGAGTTGAGAGTTACCTGTATGTACAAAAATACAGTAGTGGGGCAAATTTTGGATTAAAATGCATGTACTTGTGAAAATGCATGTACTTGGCATGCTCTGGTCCATGGGGTCATGAAGAGTCAGACACGACTAAACAACAACAACTTGTGAAAATGACATATAAAAATACATTATATTAGGGAGAAATGCATTGCAAAAAACGTGTTAGGCAAAGTTGCATTCAAACATTATATTGTGCTAAAATGCTGGTGAATTTTTATGAGGGCTTTTAAAAAAGAATTGCAAATTGATGAGGAAATGCAGAGAACTGAGCTTATGACTGGAAGAATGAGAAACAGAGGAAACTGCAGTTGACAGATTTGTCAGTCCTTATCTGTTCCTCTCTAGATGTTGCTGGACTCTAACGCCCATCAGACCCAACCAGCAGAGTCAATGGGCTGGGGTGATATGAGTGGTAGTGCAGCAACATCTGGTGGGTCACAGCTTCCCTCCCTCCTCCTTATAGGTCCTTACCCTCCCTGAATGTGCCATGCCCTTTTCTAGAGCCATTTAAGCTTCTGAGACCATCGCCACTTCTTGTGGCAATAAATTAAGTGAATTAATTATGCAGGAACTTCTGTTAAGCAGGGGAAGTAAACAAACAAACAAAACACTGGAAATGCCCAAGTGTTTGGCTGCTCCGGAGGAGCTCTTTGTATTTGACCATCTGTGCTGGCCAAATGCTATCAGCATTAAGCTGGTGCTTGTTTACCCTTTATATAAAATGGAAATGGAAATAAGACCGTATATTTCCCTGTTCTGAACCAGCAAATTGCTCCCTTGTTTGTTTGTTTGTTTGTTTGCTTGCTTGCTTGCTTGCTTGCTTGCTTGCTTGCATTATTGTGTGTTTGTTTTTGAGCACAAAAGCTGCTCCTAAGAACCAGCAGTCATCAGCTCTAAAGCTCCATCATCCAGGCCAAGTCACCTGGGAATATAATATGGGTCAAGCCAGTTGTTGGTGCCAGATGTATACACATTTTCATCAAAGAATTAACGGTGCCCTTTAAAACTGCTTAAAAGCTGGCATGTTGTTGCTTTTTGATATAAAAAGAAACAGAAATAGGCCTCCCTCAATTTTCTTTTTTCTTTTTTGTCCCTCTTGGGCAAATGTTTTGGAGACATCTTTTGGCACTGCCCATAGCTTCTGCTCAAAATAGCTTCTTTTTATAAAGTGACAGTTTATAAACATTTAATATTGCAGACAGTAATGTCTTTGTGTACAACACTTTAAAAGCATTTATTCCCTACTGTAAATAAGACAGTTCAGCCGCAATTGTTCAAGCAATATTCCCCCCCCCCATCTCCAAAATTGCACATCCTTCAAGGAAATGCTCCAGAGTTGGCTTCAGGATTTTGCAAGACACAGGGCAAGCAGATCAAGAATTCTCTTGCTCTCCTTTCAACCTTCCCAGGTGACTAGTCCTTTTGAAGTGGTGGGTCTTTGACTGGTCTTGGCAGCCCAGCAAATGTTGAATGGTACTACCATCCTCTGGAGTTGCCCATTAATATCCTCAGTGTCTAAGGTATATAGGGGAAGGCTGTAGCTCAGTGATAGAATCCATGCTTTGCATGCAGAATGTCCTGGGTTCAATCCCTAGTGTCTCCATGTCAGGCTGGTAGGAATTTTTTTCTGAAACCCAGGAGAGCCACTAATAGTCAGTGTAGACAAAACTGAACTAGGTGTGTCAATAGTCTGACTTTTCATAAAACAGCTTCCTATGTTCCTATCATAATTCACACTTACTGGATTCGTTCTTAAACCAGTTGCCCCAGGATTTTCATGGTAATTCCAGAGCAACTTAAATTTCTTCTTTTAAATTATTTGACTTTCATTTGCGTAGTGCCTTTCTATATTACTGCACACAAGACGGTTTACAAGCTGAAGAAACAACAAAATAGACAATAAAGACCATATACCTAATAACAATCTGATCCAATACAAAAAAGTCATAATAAAAACATAACTTTAAAATAAACAACATATAAATTAAAGCAATATTCAATAATCCATTAGAATATAAAAGTAAACAGTAAAGTTAAATGTCAGCAAATAGTAATTAAACAGTTTCAATACAGATTTAATAAATTATAATCAATGAAAATAATGGCAAGTCACAATTCATAAAATACCACAAAACATACAAAACCATTTAAAAGGGTCAAATTGAGAAACAAGGACAGTTTCTAGGAATGGCCCAAGATTTTCCACCACCTGAGGATGATGATTCAAAAAATAACATCAGCACTGCATACCTTATGAAAAAGTATCCTGTCCACCTTGCATACAAAAGGTGCTTGGTTTAATTCCTGGCATCTCCTGACAGGGATGGGAATAATTCCTGCCTGAAACCCTGGAAAGCTGCCGCCAAAACATGAGCTTTTGGGGCCAGTGGAATGATTCTGTGTAAGACAGCTTCCTGTGATTAATGTGATCTATTTATTTATTTATTGCAAACATTTCTATCCTGCTGTCCTGTTCAAAAAACAAACAAGCAAAACAAAAACCAACTTGAGGCACTGTGCAACAAATGTGGGAAATGATAACGCCACAGAAAAGAGAGAAGCAATCAAAAAGTTGGAAGTAAGGAGCACAGGAGCTAAAAACAGCATTCCACATTCTCATTCCCAAACCTAGACATATTGGGTAATTTCCCAGTGTTGCTCCTATCCAGAGTAGGTCCACTGAAAATAATGGTCATGCATGACTCACTTAGGTTATTTCATTTTAACTGAAAAGTTATAGGCAACCCTATTGGTCCTATACAGAAGAGGTCCATGCAAATCCCTGGTATTTTATGGCCTTGGCTTTTTCAGTTCGGTCCTCTTCCTGCTGTCACGTAGACACCATTACCCATATTTAAAACCCCTCCTCTAAAGCATAGAAACAAATGATCTCATGATAACAAAGAACTATTGAATTGCATAAATACATGAAACATCCCAGCATACACAAACACCTTCCTGCATTCATGTCAGAGCCCTTGCTGGATAACTACCATGATATTCTGTTAAATCAGCAGGACCTGTTTCCACATAATGGGCTTAAAATAGGGGCAAATGCATGCTTAATGACAGGTCTGTTTTTCTGACTTTTCCTCATGGGAGGCCCCCTACCTTCTCTGCTCCAAGGCTTCCTCCGCCTTTACATCTCTGGTTTGGCACTTCGTAATTTTGCACCTACCTACACTAATCTTTCATACCAAGTTCTTATTATGAACTTAAATAAGTATTTATTAACCCACACATTTCCTCCCACTCTGTGCTTCTCATGGTTGTGATGTATTGATAATAATAAAGTGACAGTCTGGTTAAATTTGACGCTCAGGGAATCTAATGTGGAAGGATCTCAAAGATTCTACTGAACACCTCTGTGAAACAGCAGAATGTGCACATGTCGGCAGCCGGCATGCAGTTGGCTCAAGTCAGTGTGAAAAGGTTGCTGGGCCTCAGGCCAAGCCAGACTCCTGTCCTTCCTTTGGAGATGAATAATTTAATGCAATGATGGGGAACTGGATTTGGTCACCAGACCAGTCCTTCTCTGCCCCACCCCCTGCTGGCTACGTTTGGCAGGGCTGCCCAACTCTCAGTCACCTGACAATCCCAATGACATCAGATGACCATTTTCACCCACGTGGCTTGGAATTAAGCTGTGTGGGTGCAAACCCCAATGATTAGCTACATTTGGGAGCTTGCAAACCCCATTTTGGCCCCATGATGTCTACTGCTGACCACACCTGCTATGTTATCAAGTGTAGGACAGGTGGACATTTGTCCAAAATGACTTTCTGGGCAAAATGAGGATTGGTGGACCATAAAGCACATGGACCAGATATTTGTAGAGCAGGAGATCCTAGGTTCAGTTCTTGCTGTCTCTAGTAAAAAGATCAGGTAGTAGATATTTATAGTCTCAGGCAACATGGAAGGCTTAAAAAGAGGATTAGATAAATTCATGAAGAATAAGACCTATCAGGCAACATTTGACCTCCAGTCTGCAGGGACCTCACCTGTTCTCCAGGAATTCTCAAATATTATAAAGGCCCTGAGATTAAAGCTGCAGGCTCCCTTAGTAACCTTAGGTGCTGCTCATCAGGCCCTGTAGATCTGAATTCATTTAAAGTAACTAGGTGTTCTCTTACCACCTCTTTTCCTATCTTGGGTTTCTGCTCCCTCCTTCCTTTGTTTATTCTGTTATCACTAAGTTGGACACAGCTTTCCTTTTGGGTCAGAGGCAGAATGGGTGTTGAGCAGTTCCACCTTCTTTCTGTCACCCAACAATATTTCTCTGTCTTCTCCTTGCAGAGGACCCACTACTTGCTTGTTCTTCCTCTTGCTTCAAACATCACAAAAGAACCCTTTTTTAATTATTTTTACCCTTCTTGCAGGTGTGAGCTGATTCTGTGCTTTTGCTCACATGACCTTCTCCCTGCAACTGTTGGCTCTTCATGTATACTCTTCCTTCATTTGTGTATAACACTGAGTAACAATTTTTTACTTTTTGAATGTTGTCTAGATTTCTACAACTGATTTAGGGTATTTTTGCACTGCTGAATCAGGAAATGGCATCCGTTTCTCTCCATCAGGTCAGGTTTACTGTAAACTGAATGGTGGGCATTGATAAAGGTAAGTACATGTAAATTGCATGTTGCTTCACTATTTTTCAAACTTCAGGGCTTGAACTTCCATTTCTTGGAACTCCTGGAATGCTCAGCGGCAGGGAGGTCTCTCTTCAGAGTCCAACAGTAGTCAGCCATCATGACTGCGTCCCAGCGACCCTGATACCTGGTCTCCATCTCTTTCATGTCCTGATGGAATCTCTCCCCCTGCTCGTCACTCATTGAACCCAGGTTCTCAGGAAACCGGTCCATATGTGAAAACAGGTAGTGCATCTTGACGCTCATGTTCCAGCCCAGGTTTCTGAAAGCAGTCAGCATGTTGTTGACAAGTTCTGCGTAGTTTCTGGCCTTATTGTTGCCAAGAAAGTTCTTCACTACCAGAACAAATGCCTTCCATGTTTCCAGTTCCACTTCGTTCATTGACTTTCCGAACTCTGGATCTCTGATGAGCTGACGGATCTGAGGACTGTCAAAGATGCCAGCTTTCAACTTCTCCATGGTCAATCCTGGAAAAGCCTGGCACAAGTAAGTGAAGCAGTGCCCATCCTTGTCCAGAGCCTTGGTGAACTGCTTGATTAAGCTGAGCTTGATGTGCAGCGGTGGGAAGAGTATTCTGTCTCTGTCCACCAGAGGGTCGTTGATGACGTTCCTTCCTTTCTTTGCAAGGCACCAATTCCTCCCGCACAGGCCAGTCCTTCTTCGTGTAATGCTGAGCACAGTCCCTACTATCCCACATGCACAGAAAACATGGGTACTTGGTGAAGCCATACTGTTGTCCCAACAAAAAGTTCACTATCTTCAGGTCAACACAAATAAACCACTTATGCTGATCATAACCAATTTTCTCCAGCACATACTTCACCGCTTCATAGTTCTCCTTCAGTGTACTCGAGTGAGCCAGGGGTATAGAGGCAAACTGGTTGCCGTTGTGTAGCAGAACACATTTCAATGATCGCTTGCTGCTATCAATGAACAGTCTCCAATCTTTGGGTTCATACTGTGGCACTCCAAGCTTGAGCAGAAGCTGCGCAATATCTGCACAGTACACCAAGTCCTTCTCTTCCGAGAAAAAACTTAGGTACTCTTGATGCCTGTTGTGGAAGAAGCTGGTGCGAGCACTGTCAGAGAGGAGGTTTTTTTCCTTCAATCTGGATGCCAACAGTTTGGCAGAGTCCTTTGACAAGCTGAGGTCGCGAACTAGATCATTCAACTCCTTTTGGGAAAATGGATGTGGAGCATCATCTTCAAGAACCACTTCTTCCTCTTCATGTCCTTCAACACTGGAGGCATCTTTGTCACTAATGTCAGGAAGTTCTCCGAAGATAGGCACTGGAATTTCATCACAATGAGCTACAGGACGACGTGCTGATTGAAGATCAGGATACTTGAGGCTGCTCCGGTACTTTCTGTTGATCCCAGCCGCACCAATTTATGGAAGATTTAGAGGTTTTATGACTTCAGACTGATCCCTTTTCGACATAAACACCCAGAACTATCGGACCTGAATACTTCTTGTCATTAAAATAATCATTTCCAATCAAAACAATTATTCGACATGGCATTTTACCCCCACCAACTGCTTCTAAGATGCTCCACACAAGCGTACATGTGAACAAAAACGTAAAAAAACGACATGTGGCCATAGCTCAAAAACTTGGCCTGATTGAGCAAAACCAATGTGATTTTTGGATTCAGCCCATCAGATTCATCCTAAATTATCTGAAAAAACGCAGACAACAAATTTGTTGTTGACCAGTGATAATCTGTCCCTTTTCTTCCCTTTCTTATACATGTCATTCTTAGATCTTAGCTCATTTGTAAGCTCCTTATGCAGCCACACCAGTCTCTTTAAATGCTTCCCACTTCTCTCTCCTGTTGCAATTGTCTGCATTTGTGCCTTCAATTTTCCACCTTTAAGAAACTATCATCTATCTTGGACTCACTTCTTTTGAGTGATCTCAACCCAGTAGTTCCTTCAGCTTATTGAAATCGG